AAGTCAGTTGGAATAGCCACAGTCTGTAGTTCCTTACAGATGAGAAATAAAGTTGTCGTAGCAAATAAAAACTTCCTTTTTATCCTATTGTCAAAGCACCTTCAATTGAATAGAAACCTTAAGCAATGGACGCCATCACCATGGGTCCTGAGAAATGTGGTAACAAAATTGAAAAGATGATCTGAAGCCTAGTTCATAAACTGCTTACAATTGCATCTTTGGAATTTTAAGCATTTGTTTTAATAAACAAAGGAAGTAGTTTGTGTTACTGGTGAAATTGGAAGTCAGTTAAGACTGGCTTTAGCATAATGTGTTATTGCTACTTTGAAGTATTTATGCAAAGTGTGTGTTCAGTGCCAAAGGTAGTATTATAACAGAGGAAAATGCTGAACGCTTACCTTAATAAAAATGAACCCTAAGAAGCTCTTAAATCCCCTTGTTTAACTCTTTGGGGGGTCGGGGGTGGTGTGGGGAATGTGTACTTGCAGAGCCTTTAGTAGAAGCAATGTATGTAAATGGAAATTTAAGCCTTCAGCAGCTTGACTGATCTGTTGACTTATTTGAGAAGCCAGAAGCAATTGGCTATCCAAGCATAAATAAATGTCTACAGGAAGATACCCTGTGTTTCTGAAGTGGTCCTGCAAATGAATAGCTCATGTGGGAATGTAGGCAGAACTTTTATAATGGTAGATTGCTTATGCCTAGGAGATAGACACCTTTGTTGGTGTCTTCGAATAGGGCTTCAGAGTCCCTGGTGACTCATTTTTAATGTCTGCGTTCTGATGAGATATAAACGATCAGCCTTTTCATCTGTGTCAGCATTGCTATGCTATTACTATTTTTCAGATGTTAGAAACAACGTGTGATTTTTAGCAGCGCTCTCTCTAAGCTGCACTCAACATTCATTTGTGAGAGCTTTTTTAATCTCCCTGGAAGTTACTATGACTGTCTCCTGCATTTTATTGGAGGAGAGAATGTTACTTACAAACTAAAATGTAAGGCAGAGTCTGCACATTCAGTATTTTAACTGTATATGTTTCCTGGCAATTGAATTTAAAAAAACCACAATAAATGAGAGTGGGGAACTGTGGTTGTGTTTTTCGCATAAGAGACATAAATGGTGTGCCCACTTTTCGGGGTAGAATCATACACCATCAAGACGTACCTGCTGCCAGATGATACAGCTGATAAATGCTTTTGCTGCAGATTTTGTAGATCTGGAGTATGGATAAAATAAAATTGTACAACTTATAACAAAGGAGCTGTATTGAAAAGATGTCTGAAAATTATGGGGAAAACTATTTAGCATAAAGCAAATTATAATCAGAAGAGGAAAAAGCGTAGTCAGTTCCAAGTCCTTACTGGGCCTGGCTAGAGCAGTGTTCTGTCACCTGCTTATAATGCCTACTATTTTAAAAGTCAGTGGCTTTGTTTTAAGGATACTGCAGGAAATCAGACTTCTTTCAAATGGGCCTTTAGACTTCATTATGTATGTTCTTGTGAGCTGTACTTTTTCAAAATATTGTTTCATGGGCAAAGTGCTGAAACCGTAGCTGATGGTGGTGGAGTTTGAGGCACTTTTGATTTTTATTCTTTTATTTTAAAGATCATTGCATATTATCTGAGGTGCGGATCAAGTAATTGTATTGTTGTTGTTATTAACAGATATTTTTAAACCAACAACTGTGCAGCTTTAAAAAAAAGACTGATCAGACGCAGGACTTTCAAACTGTAATTCCTCAACTGTTCAGCACTTTTTTCCTATAGCATGCACTTTTTGCCTTTAATCAGAATTAACTTGATTCTTTACTAAAGTTTTAATTTTTTTTTTTCCAGATATGGCTAGTTTGATAACATGTTTTTTAAGATAGCTGTGTGGTGCTCTGCTGTATATATGAAGGCAGAATACATTGTCAAAAAGCTGAAAGTTTAATGAATTAAATAATTTGCGTATTAGTAATCCGGAAAATGGGAAGAATGACAACTTCAGCTTTTTTCAGTGTGTTTAGCGGTTTTCAGCATAACCTTGCAGTTGTTTTGTCAAAATAGGAAGGTTCTGCAGTGTACATTGCCACAAACTCAATAGTAATTCTGAGATGGTGGGGCTCCTGATGGGTTACATTTAGACAACAATTAAACAGTGTTTAAATATATTTATTATGTCATTATTTAAAATCAGGTAACATCTTTATGATAATTCCATTCTTGTTTTACGAAAATAAGTAGTAAATCATTCTGGTATGTTGGTGTAATACTTCATGTTGATGCTCTTCTATGCATTGGATGATATGTTAATAATGTCTTCCTTAGTTCAGCAATTAGTGTGCTTGATATTTTAATCTTAAGAAAATTACTGTTGTCATGTGTTAGAGAATTTAAGGTAAATGAAGAGCTTTTTGCCTGCAGAAAGTTGAGTTAGTGTTTTGTGGTTGATTTGGGGGGTTTTTTTGTTGTCATATGGTTTTTTTGTTTTGTTTTGTTTTTATTTTTTCCCTTCCTGCAATTTAAAGATTTTTCTTTGCTTTTCATCATGCACATGGAGTAGTTTGTTTATTTCATCTCTGCAGCTACTCTCTGTTTCTCTTCAGGCTTTCTCCTCTAGTCTGACTTCATTTTTTTCAGGTTTTTCTCACAGTTTTATGTTTTTTAGAACTGTGATGATGATATTGCTGTTCTGTCTTCAGTGGGAGGGAAACTCTTTGTGTCTTTCTAGAAGTATGGTGCCCCGCAAACGGATAGGGTTTTCCACTTAAAAAAATTATAGTGCAAAAGTAGAGCAAAACACTTGCCTCAGGTTTTTTCAGGTATTTCTTCTGTGTTTACTTCTCAGACTGTTGGTTTCTCCGACAGTACCTTATTTTTTGCAACCACTTGGCATGGTGGACTTGCATTCATTGACTGATGCACTGTAAATGCAGAAGCATTTTTGCTGCTACCTGTCCACCTGGTTCCAATTCTAAATTTGTTTTGCTTATTGGGATTTTTTCTTTTTTTCTTACTGGAGAATAGAATGCTTTTATATTTGTACTTATGGGACAGAATTCTATTTTTTACATCACTTGTGGAGTTGGTGAAGAAATCTTATCCTTTTCTTCATTGTAGTTGCATACTCTCTGCCTTCTCCAACTGCCTGGTAAAGTAATAAGCACATGGTCTATTCTTCTTGTCAAAATCATTAGTAAAAAGACTCAATCCCAGCAGTATTCTTGTGAAAGCCTAATTGTGTATGTTTCTTCATTATGAGAGTGCAAATATTAGCAAGTTTGTCATTATTTAAATTTTACCACCTGCATAAGTTCATGGGATATGTAAAAATACCAACCAAACAAAACTGATTACAAATTTAGCTTATGGTCCAGAACAGGCTCAAGAGGATTGATATTATTGTAAAGACACATCAGATGGACATAGGATGAGGAATTTCCTAGTTCTTATTCTTTGGTGCAATGACTTGATTACAGTGGCATGATATACAGGAATGTTTAATGAGTGTACACTGTCAGCACTGGGGATTAGTGTGGCACATTGTTTTTATTCTTCCCATTTTTTGCTTTACATGGTGTTTTGTTGTCTTAAAACCATTCTCCGCTTGATAAATAAGCAATATTGGGAAGGGGAGAAAAGGCTAGTGTAGGGTTAATGTTTAGCTTCTACCTGGGATATGTATTAGTTTAATTTAAATAATGTTTACAGATATCAACAAAAAGCCCTATTAGCAAAAAAACCTCACTAGCTAATTAACTGATTGAAGAGGTATCTGTAGAAGTAATCACTTTAGGACCAGTATTTCCATCTTCAATTTCCAACTTCTACCTTTTTAATGAGAACATAGTTTCTATTTTTAGCCCTAACTGATGTAGAAATACCAGCCTGCTGCTTTTACGTAGATGCAGTATGTGTTGTGTCCCATGCCACTGATCCTAAAAGAGATCTCTGTTGTCCTGGCAAAACTTTCCACTTTTACATGACAGAGGCTGATAATACTCTTTCAGTGAAGATAGTCCATAATAAGTTGTGTGGTAACAGTTGTTACAGATTTTAAACTCAAAACTAAAGTGATATATGCCATGCTGGTATCTGTGTGCTTTTAGTGTGTGTAAGTAAAAACCTCCTTGTATTGATACCTGTCTGTCGTGGTTTAACCCCAGCCAGCAACTAAGCACCACGCAGCCGCTCGCTCACTTCCCTCCCACCCAGTGGGATGGGGGAGAGAATTGGAAAAAACCCCAACAACAGTAAAACTTGTGGGTTGAGATAAGAACAGTTTAATGAAACAGAAAAGAAGAAACTAATAATGATAACACTAATAAAATGACAACCGTAATAATAAAAGGATTGGAATACACAAAACAAGTGATGCACAATGCAATTGCTCACTACATGCTGACCGACGCCCAGTTAGTCCCTGAGAGGCAATTCCCCCACCCCCACTCCCCCCAGTTTATATACTGGGCATGACATCACGTGCTATGGAATATTCCTTTGGCCAGTTTGGGTCAGGTGCCCTGGCTGTGTCCCCTCCCAACTTCTTGTGCCCCTCCGGCTTTCTTGCTGGCTGGGCATCAGAAGCTGAAAGAAATCCTTGACTTTAGACTAGACATTACTTAGCAACAACTGAAACCATCAGTGTGTTATCAACTTTATTCTCCTACCTAACTCAAAAACATAGCACTGTACCAGCTACTAGGAAGACAATTAACTCTATCCCAGCTGAAACCAGGACACTTGCAAACTGGAATAGTATGAATTCTCCAACTGAAACTAAAACTTTGGGATTTTTGCTATCCTATTCCATTAGCTGCTTTATTTATGAAGCTAAAATGGAAGTCAGCCTAAGCATCAGCTGACTGATATTCCTGCTGAGAACAGAAACAAAAGCTGAGCTACACTTTTGCTTAGAGAACAGAAATGCTGCTCTGCAATTTTAAGTAAAACATAAAATTTTGTTTCTGAAGACATAATTAATTAGATGTTGGGTTTTGTGTTTATTTTTGGTACAGGTAATTAATGCTGCTTTAGCTCTTGCTGCCAGACCAAAAAGTCAAGTTGTGAAAAACAACATGGAGATGTATAGGAGTACATGGGAGAATCACATCCATGTTCTTACTGAAGCTGTGGATGATATAACAAGTATTGATGATTTTCTTGCTGTATCAGGTATGATAATTTTCAGAATCTGATTATTCTTTTATATGCTTTGAAAACTTTTCATAACATTTCAATAGGAAACCAGTGGAAGATTAGATTGTGTAAGGTTTTGTGAAGCTGTTGCTTCCGTTTAAAATGTCCCCACACAGTAGATATTTCTACTCTGCACAACGTAGAGCTGGGTAGAAGCAGCTGTATCTCTGCTTGCATTTTTTGTGTTCCTTGTAGGCTTTCTGTTAATTTCTGTTGTATGATTGGTTGCAGAAGTTTGTTGGTTTAAGTTTGGTACAGTTCTTTCCTCTCTTACTCCCCTAGACTCAGGCTATAATTGATTTCACTAAGCAGTTCTGTTAAACTTGCCACAGTTTACTCTTAAGTTATGGAGTTATAGTCTTTCAATATAGCACACTCTGAATTAAAATCAAGCCAGTGTTTGTTATGAATCATAACCTCTGTTCTTAACAAAAGTAATTCTTAAATAGATTTTTTTTTTTTTGGACAAAATCTGATGAACATTTATTATTCAGTCTACAGCTGAATGCATTTCGTAAGCTTAATTTAATCTCCCTTTTTTTTCTTCTGTACTCAGTGGACGGAGATACGCTCATTTAGAGAGATTTAGGAGAGCGTTGCTTGTTCTTCTGGATGATTCAGTTGTTCTCTCCTGAATACAGAAAAAGCTTGTTGAGATTAGACTAACATAAAATTTTATGAATTCTCCCTGATTGTCCAGTCTGATGTATTTCCTGTTGGTAGCTAGGTTTCTGATAACTTTCAAAGTTTGTTTTTTCAAATCTGTAGCAGATCCCTAGCATTATCCAATTTCATACAGTAAAAGCCGATCTTTCATGTAGTTCTCCAAAATGACTTTGAGTCTATCGTTTTTTTGTTTTTTTTTTTTTTTAAATCATGCTGTCCTTTTAGTTCCTCTGACTTTTCACATCCCTAACATGCAATTATATGCAACTACATTTCCAATTTTTGTAATATTCTCTGAATATCACACATTATTCTTTGTATCTGCCCTATAGTAGTTACTCTGCTGTTGTACCGTTGCTCTTCATTATCCAGTGTTACATTCTGTATAAGAGTATTCCTAAAAAATAACTTTCTTTATGCTGCCTGTCCTTTTAATATCATATTCATTTATCCAGGATTGTGTCATCGTCTACCCAGTGCTGCTTTTTTCTTTTTTTCTGGGACCTCAGATAATCTGAAACAATAATTTATACTTGCTATTACAGTCTGAGGATGGAAACAGGCCAAGATGTGAAGGGGGTGTTAATATCTTTTTGTTATATTTGAAGGGAAGAGAAAGCTTTGTTTTTTTAGTATAAACCCCCTCTTTTCTTGTTTGGAACAAAAGCAGCAAACTTCAAGGTAAAAATAGCTTAGGATTTAACTTAAATTAATTGATGACATTTTGAGAGAGAAGGGTGCTGAGCTCCAGAGGTAATTAACATAATTCATCTTGTCTGGCTGTGTGCATTCTGTCTGCTAACCAGAGGTTATGGTTCTTTTAGGATCTGTGTGATGACTCACACTGATCATCACAGATCAGCGTTGAAATTGGCATCCAAACTAGAATTGCAGTCATTGTTCCAGCTTCAGGCACACTTCTGCTGATGAATTGAAGGGTGAGAGGGAAGGAGGTGTTAAAACATAGGTTATTCTTTGTGTTGGGGTCATGTTGTGCTGGAATCACATTGAATGATTTCTTGATTTTTTTGATATATATCAGTTATTTCATAATTGCAGGAATTGTTAAATATTGGAGTTCCATAAGTAAGTTGGTCATGCAGTAGAGAAACATTGTACCATAAACAAGTTAGTTAATATGAGGGAAAACAACTTACCTGTTCACAATGTCCCTTTCTGATGTGTATTCATTTGCAAGTTCTTAAATTGTCTTGTGCTTGCTTCTTTTATCTGGAGTGACTGAGACACATTTATTTTCTTTTATGTAATAACTGATGTTATTTTTCCCAGCTTAATTGCCAGAAGGTTTGGATGGTAAAAAGAACTGTTTGCTGCCCCATTGGTTCGAATTGAGTGATAAATTCTGGATAGGAGGCAACTGGAAGGAGAATGGAGATTAGATATGGATAGGTTTTCAGCTTTGTATATGTATGTCATGCCTTCCTGCCAAAATAAAGGTTCTAATTCTCATGGCATCGTCTGTCCTTCACTGCACTATATTGGTGTCTGGAAACAGACTGTATTTTGTGCTCTTTGCACCATTATTAGAGAATGCATCATACATGTCAGATCTAGTATTTTTATCCTCTGCAAACTCTTAACTTGTAGAACTAGTTATTGCAATGTACTGATGACATCAGTGTTGTTCAGTTGTGATACCAACCTTGTCAAAAATTTTGGAAATCAATGACCTATTTATTTAATTCTTTCTGCTCTCTGCTTTGTTGATCATCTGAGACTTTTACATGTAAAAAATTATTACAGGTATAAGCCTAGATATGGCAAGAGCTCTTTGTAGAAGTGCCGTTTATAATTAAGGTCATTGTAAATACATAGATAGAGGCAAATGGTAGAACACTGAGAAGTGCTGAAACTTTTGAAAGTGTAGTGGAAGAGAATCCCTACATTATCTAGATGCCTTTTGAAAAATACTACTCCAACTCTGTAAAATCCTGTTCATCCTTACTAATTCTTCTCATACTGCACTGGAAGTTTTAGATTTGCTGGGAAATTTATTTAGTGCCAACTACTGAAACTCAGTTAAAAATTCTGAAAGGTTATATCTAATGTTGTAGGAGTTCAAAGTTTAGAAACCATTTTACATGTAATTTCTTCTCGTTTTATTCCTAAATCTCCTCAGTTCTCTAGTACTGTGCATTTCCACTGAAAATTTCCCATTTCCTTCCCCTCCCACCCCAAAATCTAATTTCTTTCCTGTGAAACTTCTAGAATCTCCTTCCTCTCTACACTCCCGTTCTCATTTAAAAAAAAACAACCACAAACCAACACCAAAAAAGCCTTTCAGCATTCTAGTACTCTGCAGGTAAGGCTGTAAAACTTTAATGGTTTGTCTGCTAATTTAGTGGAACCACTTGCAAACAGAAATAGTGTATGACATTTCTGCATTTTTTTTTCAGATGCGCTTTATTCTGTTGTGGTTTTATTCACTGATTTAGGAATGTATGTTAGCTTTCATCTTGCTGAACACCTACACTTAAGCCTGCATTAAGGAAGGTGCTAGTCTGAGGTTATTGCAGTTCAGTTATTTCTCCGGGCAGAACTTCTTATGTTTTACTAGTCACTTGTTCTTTGCAAAAATACACAGTTGCGCTTAAGCCACATACAAAGTATTGGATGTAATTGGGGCTAATCAGATTGGTATGTTATTTCATTGTCTTGGGGGTTTTACCTTTTGCCTGTGGAGTTATGTTTTCCTGTTAGGTGCATGGGGGTTTTTTTGTTGTTGTTTTTGGTTTTTGTTTTTTTTTTTCATTTAAAAAACTTGTCTGTGAGCAGAAATTGTTGTCTTAGAGGAGCAAGTCTAATGAGTGAACAGCTTGCATAGAGACCACCCAGTAGATTTTAAGGAGTACCACTGAATAAATTACTTATTTCCTACATGTATCTCCTAGCAAATAGGTATATTGTAGGGAGAGTGAGGACTGTTAGAACATCTCAAACTTTGCTGCTTCAGATATTTGCAGCAACTTTGCTATTGTATTGTAACAAAGTACTAGGAACTTATCAAAGCCATGAATAATACCGTTAAGGCTGTTCACTTCAAGTCATGCATCACTGCAATTATAGGACTGATTGCATGTTTGCGCATTTGTATGTGTGTGATTGAATTACTGTGGGTATAGCTTGCTCATCTCTATTTTAATTACTCTCAGTTTATTGTGGTTGGACTTTACCTGTGACTGTTGTAATTGTGCTGATGGGTATTATATGAACCCCGGACTCGGCTTTGGGGAGATTGTTTCTATTAACTACAGTTGCTTTTTTTATTAACCCCTAAAGGAAAACAAAACTAGGCTGTTTGTAGAATACCAGTTTTTTAAAAATTGGATCATAAAAAGCATAAATAAGTTCATGCCTTGTCAAATGTAGTAAGTGGATATGTTTGTCTTTTGCTAAAAGTACTGTGCTATGTGGCATAGTAGAATGAAGTCCATCTCTGGAGATGGCCTGTGACCATCAGAGGTCTCTACTGTTATAGCTAGATTTAGCGGTTGCCTAAAGTTTCTTTCCTTTGCCAAAGCCAGCAGAGGCCAAGGCACTATTGGAACATGGGTGTACTTCCCTTAAATTCCACATACAGGTTTTATTTAAAAATCTTGTGCAACTTGTAGCTATATTTATATGCCACTTACCTGCACAAGACACCCTGCTTCTTTTTCATAAGTGCGCATGTGAGCATGAGTCACAACATCTTGGGCCTGTTGATTCTGTTGCCATGGAAAATCCACCCTGTTCATTGTCCCTGATGGTTTCTGCTGCTGGGCAATGTGGGAGACCTTTAAGCCTGTGTAGAAGGGCCTCTTCCTGGATGAGTCCTGACTGTCAGTGGTGCTTCATAGCTCTTGGTTTTAGTGCCCATTTTGTGGGTAAACAGTAGAATTTGTTGTCCAGTGCCTCCTGTGTGTTCCTTTGTGAATGCGATTTGGATCATAGTGGATTGGCTTTTTTTCTGGAGGAAGGGGAAGCCCTTGTTCCGGTTCCTGTTGAACTATTGTGTAAACTGCAATGACACCAGAACGTTTTTCGTGTTCTAGAACATAAGAGAGTCTGAAATTTATTATGAAATGCTTTTTGTTTAAAAAAAACCCCAAACCAGCAAATCCCCAACAACCAAACGTTATTTTTGGGTGGGAGAATGTTCTTTTTACTGCTTACGAAGAAAAACATTATAATGCCCATCTACTAATACCATCCATTTCTTCTTTATGGATACTGAAAAACTTAGTCAGGACTGTGGGATTAAGAGATAATACTGTAAATACTTGGGCAAGGAGTAAGGGGAAGATTCA